TACGGACTCCGTTTTCGACTGTCTTTTTATCGTTGAGCTCCTATTAATGAGATATTAAATTATCATTTAGGTTGTGTTGGCTTAAAATCGATCGATCTAAAATTTGAATTTCGGGCTGACTATGCCAAATCTTAGAAAAATCATAACTTCCTCATACGAAGTCAGATTTGGATGTTCTTTTTATGCACGCTCTCGGTTTAATGTATACTATGACTTTCGTTTATTTACCTAAGTCTAAAAAGTAATTTATCAAAAAGTCACTTTTTACGTTACGCGGTGCCGTGTCGGTTTAGCCGTAAAACTTCGACGGGTCATAACTTCTTCGTTATAACTAGGATTTCGGCGTTTTTTATATGCACAGAAACCTTGTAAAATATACTATAACTTGGTTAAGATTATTCATTCTAAGTAATCTTCCATCAAAAAGTCATTTTTTACGCTTATTGTCTCTAAATTGACTAGCCCAAATCGGCGGGCGTTACAATTATCTCCCCCTTAGGATGATTACGTCCCGGAATCATCAAAGAAACAGGGCGTGTATAATGACTCCATATGTTATCTCTTCATCATAGGTAATAACTATAACTTCTATGTTCCTTCGAATGAATATCTAACTCTTGGACTTCTTGACTGCAGGCGGTGTTTAATCTTGTATCTGTTATTCGTACTATGTTAGAATTTCAACTGTAACCTTCGAGTTACAAAATCAATCCTTATTGGAGACTCCTGCTCCTTCGTAAACATACTTAACTTAAGATAAGTTTTTTACTTCGATTATCATGACAGACCGATGGGTCATGTTCTAATGACCTCTCATCGTATGATGCAATGCTTAGACTCAAGTCACTTAAGGTGAAATTCCAAAATGGAATATACATTCCTTCATGTTCTAATGCAATATAATCGTGTTCTAGCATGTAGTACTTCTAGCTACAAGCTTCTTTGCTTTAACGGTGATCGCGATACTTCTATTGATCGCTTCGATTATCTTTCACTTCAAACTTTTGGCTTAAGTCAGATGTTACATCGATCTTGGTTCTCTGAACCACGTAACATACTCATCTTAGTCGGACTCGATTTGATATGACCACTAGGGTCGGAATAACAATCATCTTCTTAGTCATTACCGAAACGATGGTAACGACATGCTTGAACAAAACGAAATCAATTACTAGCTTCTTGGTAACCTTGTGAATTTCCCTGATCCAAGTGCGAGTCATGTGCTTCCGGTAGTATAGGCCTCTACTACCTTTCACACCTACTCATACTCGTCCCAAGTATTGTCTCGCAGTCCCCAAATTCTTATTCCCTAAAATCACAAAACAATTTAACATATACGAATGTGTCCAAATAATCATAAAAATTTTCCCTAGATTATACTAGGACTTCTTCCATGCGTATCTTCAATCATCAATTCTACTTAAACTCGGTTGGTGGTGGAAATGCCAAATGATGGGATAACTTCATGGATTATACCAAAAGTTCTTTCTTTCAGCTAATCGAAAATTTACTTCTCCCGTACTGGAAATACCAGATGATGGGATAACTTCATGGCCTCTACTACCTTTTGGCTACTAATGGAAAAGAGATATCTTTGGGCCCCTCAGTGATTTGATGTTGACATTATAATGTTGGGCCCAACCTATACTAAATTGACGTGTTCAATTCGTAGTCTAATAAGTTCATCATGAATCGAAAAATCGAGAAACAAAATCTTGGTCTTTGGTATTGATTTATATCCATGTCTCGTGTTCATACGATATCTTATAGAATTAAGAACTAATTGATCACTTATCTCAGGGTCAACGTTTGATTTGAGTCAGATTTCGGTAGTGGCTTTAGAAAGCATATTTTGCTGATTATTCAGGGACTATACTTGTAATTGTAATTGATGACTAATCCAAGTGAGAGACTGTTGGATTAAGGTGTCTAAGGTCATAACTAAATTGATATAATTCTGTTAATAAAAGCAAAGTCATTTTTGGGTTGCCCGCATAACCATACATAGTTAGGAATAATATTGAAAGAGAGAGTAAATGATTTATTAATTTTATTATGTGATTAATAAATTAATTAGAATCAATTTAAAATTAATGAAAGATAATTAGAAATTAATTTGGGGTTAATTAGAATTATTTATTAGTATAAGGGTTGGATTGCAATTGTTCAATAGTTGAGAAAATGAGAGATTCTAGAACCCTCCTCATAAGGATGGTTTTAAGGCTCCTCCATAAGGGTTCGGAAAGCATCCTTAGCTTATAGGGATATCTGATTAATTTTGAATATTTTTATATTCAAATTAGTTTTTATCTCAAATATCTAGCATATATAAATAGAGCCATATACCTACGATTTTCGGCTACCAATTCCTTGAGAAAGCAATAGACGAAACTCTCATTCCCTTCCTCTCTCCCCCTTTCAGCGAATGTGTCCAAAAACTTGCGATTTTTGGCTCTATAAAGTCAAAAAAAAAAAGATATCTTAAAGTATTTTTTTTCTATGTATTTCTATTGATTTTTTAGGTTTTAGGGTTTCCAAACCTTTATGCATTTTCTATTGATTTGCCCTATATATATATATATATATATATATATATATATATATATATATATATATATATATATATATATATATATATATATATATCCTTAGTTTCTAGGGTTTAAGTGCGAGCCATTAGAGACAACCATAATTCTAGTGCTAGTTTTCTGAAGCAGATATAAGGATTCAAGAGTGCTACATATATTTGTAACACTAAAGGTATGTGATACTATCTATGAATTTCGATTATAGCTAGGGTTTATGATTGTTCGATAGTATGTTGTTATAATGAGAAAAAACATAAATCTCTAGGTTGCATGTGCCCATAACTAGATTTTATGATGTCTTCGTTATGCAATTAAGTTTTATGTAACCCAGAAAACTCATTACATACATCCTAAAACTCTAGTCTAGTGCATTGGGGGAGGGGGGGGGGGTTGTCATATGCTAACATACGATATACAATTTTGCATTTTTTAATTGGATCAAAACCTAACGTACCTCTTGCATCCGGATGTAGCTAGATATAATTAGACACTCCACTCACACATTCGACAATACGCATAAACAAATCCTTATGCATTCAGAACCGTCAGCGTAAATATTCTTGAAAGAAAGCATGCCCGTCAAAATAATCAGACGTTGGTAGGTTTCTTCACGTTCTGTAGATATATTTTCTTCATTTATGTTGCACAATGCTCGCTTCATAACTGTTAATTGTTTGTTCTAGCATATTACGTGCTTTGATGAAATATTATATTACGCTCCAGAGAGCATCGCTTGAGGAAGATGATGATGATGACGACGATATTTTTTTATAAAATGATGGATGTTTTAAGAGATGTATTGAGATTTATGGGTGTTGAATGGTGAAGGTTTATGTGTTTATTTATATTGGTTAAAAAATATAATAAAAGCTATTTTTATAATAAAAAAAAGTATACATTTATTTAAAAGAAAAATTGTAAAACATTCAAATTCATCCCTTTTGACCCACATTCTCTTTCTTCTTTCCTCTCGCTACTCTTGGTGCAAGCACCTGAGAGCGATGTTTGGCGATGCGTACGTTGACGACCCTACACCCTTTAAGTCTAAATGACATCGTTTAAAAAAGTGTAACTAAGTTTGAAGTTTTAATGGTAAAAAAGAATGACAAAATTGCAAGTTTGGTCCTTGTGGTGTGGCAAAAATTGGATGTTTGGTCCAAGAAGTTTTGGGGTTGCACCGGTGGTCCAAAAGGTTTGATTTGTTGTGGAATTGGTCCAAAGGCTTAACAGCCATTTGTGCCCTCCGTTTGTGTGATGGTATTTATGTCCAAAAGGATTGATCTTGTAAAGTATTTGTTAAATAAGGGTAACTTTTGAATAAATTAAATTCAAGTTTGATTCCACTTTGACTTTTGACCGGTCAAAATAGAAACCCGATTAGAAAGGGGTCAAGGGATTTTTTTGTTCGTCATTTGATCGATCGTCAAGGGGAACGCAAAGGAAACGAATACAGAACACGAAGGGAAGAACGAAGGCATAATCGATTGGGAGGAAGAGGAGATTGGAACGGGAATGAACCGAAGGCAGTCAAGAAGAAGGCACACGAAGTCAGCGAAGGTTCCATCGTTCTTCTGGCTGAAGGAAGGGGGTCCGATGGCTTCTGATTTTTCTTCGATTGATTCGCGATCGGTGATGGCCTCCGGGATTCGACTTAGGCCGAAGAAGAGGAAAGGAAAGGAGGAGGCAGCGAGGGGTCTTAGGAGGTGGTAGTCGACGACTCATTCTTCTTCTACTCCAATCATGAGGTGCGATGGGGAAAAACGAAGGGCAAGGTAGTAGCGACTGGTGCCAGTGGAGGCTGTGTTTGGTGGTCAGGCAGCCACGAGGAGGAGAGGTGGAGGCGATCGGTCGTTGGCTGGGAGAAGCACCTCCGGTGCTTCACTATTTCGCAGAGGAGAAGACGAAAGCAGCAATGGCGGCTTAAGGGCGCCTCTTCTGTCTCGACTGGAAGGTACAATGGTGAGGGATCAAAAGGGGGCTTATCGCCTCCCGTGTTTGCTCCGGGGAACTGCACATGGGATTTAGCGGTAGGTATCAATTAATTAGGAGGATGGGGTTTAATATAATAAGATATTAAAAGAAGGGGTGTGAATTGACAAAAATACTCTCACACAAACGGAGGGCACAAACGGTTGTTAAGCATTTGGACCAATTCCACAACAAATCAAACCTTTTGGACCACCGGTGCAACCTCAAAACTTTTTGGACCAATCATCCAATTTTTGACATACCACAGGGACCAAACTTGCAATTTTGTCAAAAAAGAATTGATGATTATTACCACCATTAAAATTATGTAAACCGGTTTTATTACAATATTCGAACCGAGGGAAGTTGTAAAATTGCCGGTTCGTAAAAACCGTTCATCGGCCTTTCGAAAACCTATATATAAGCATTCTCTTCGTCCCATCTTTGACACTCCAAATCAAGCACAAGTACAACGCTTAACTGATCGGAGCTATTTTAGGGCTTTTCTTCATCGCTGATCGACAATGAGTACCGAAGGTTCGACTAAAGGCGGGAGAGGTAAATCTAAAATAACAAAATCAGTCTCCAGATCTCAGAAAGCTGGCATCCAATTCCCCGTCGGTAGAATCGCTCGATTCCTCAAAGCCGGTAAATACGCGGAACGTGTCGGTGCCGGAGCTCCAGTCTATCTCGCTTCCGTTCTTGAATACCTCGCTGCTGAGGTTGATCATTTACATTCGTTGTTTCATTTTATTTTTGGTTCGTGCTATTGTTCTTGTGATTTGATTTGGAGTTTGTTTGAGTAGGTCCTTGAATTGGCGGGAAATGCAGCGAGGGATAATAAGAAGAATCGGATTGTTCCGAGGCATATACATTTGGCTGTGAGAAACGATGAGGAATTAAGCAAGCTTTTGGGGACTGTTACTATTGCTAATGGCGGCGTTTTACCTAATATTCATCACAATCTGTTGCCTAAAAAGTTTGGGAAGGGGAAGGATGAGATTGGATCTGCTTCGCAAGAATTCTAAGGATTTAATTAGTATCTGCAACCGGATCTCATAGTTTTCAGGATTGTTAAACATCTTTGGGGTTTTTCCTATTGTTTTCCTGATCTAAAAGTCAATGTAAAACCCTGGCCTATATACGTAATACACATTGATCAGCTGATCCCTGATCCTGAATTTTGAAGATTAAATGAAATTTAGTTGTAAAAATTTGACATGAGGGTTTATATATGCTGTGTGTGATGCCAATGAACAAGAGTTTGCAAACGATTTTATATGAGTTAATTAATACTAACACGCTTGACCTTGATGAAGGTAAGGCCATTCCAATCATCTTGAAGTTCATGAGAGTTTATTTTACATGCAGTGGAACAGCATTTAGTTTCAATGATTTAAGTCCTCTACTTATGTTCTGAGAACTTTTTTCAGGCATCCAAGTGGCAAAAAGTCACAGACAAAGCCATGAATACTACTGTCGCTGGAAAAAAAAGATACACGGTTCATACTTTTGCTTGAAGTAGACTTTTTATATTTTGACAACAATGAAATGTTGCTTCTTTGATTCTGTTGCAGCTTTTGGGGAACCACATAACATGACGGGTTAGAATTTATTGTGTGATCATTGACTCAATAGGCAATACTTAATACGAACATTATTTTGAATGGATATGAACACGTTGAGCAAACCCCATTGCTATACAATTTAGGTTGTGCTTGATTGAGTGTGAATGAAGGAAAAGTAATTGATCTATAAGCGATTCAGTAATAAGCTTCTTCATGAGTTGACTTTTATCTATTGTTTTTTATTTTATTTTTTGTAAATTGTTATGAATAGTTGTGCATATGAGAGTTTGTTCTTCTTGTTACTTGTTAGGCTGGGGAATATCCAATGACTTGGGATGAAACAACGGGTAGAACATGCCTTTGACAGATTAACGAGAATATTTTTTATGGATTAATTAAATTCTTAAACTGTATTTTGATAAACAAATCTTCTTTATTAATAGATATCATGATGACGAAGACATTAAGTAAATATAAGTTTTAACTTTTTAGTAAAGATATTGTAGTTTTTGGTTGACAAAGAAGAAAGGAAATAAAATTTTCATGTGAGAAAGCTATTTAATACCATGAGAAGAATTCTGTATTTTTGTTTTTTTATTACTTTTTTAGTTGATCGCTTTCCAGATTGTTACTTCCGGGAGTATTCCACACCAGATACAGCCTTTCAAACACAGTTTGGTCTTTGCTGGCCCACTAACTCTCATTCTCCACATTTTTCCTTGTTAATCCCCATCTTTGATGCATTCATTTCACTTTCACCCAAATTTCAATTCAAAATCAGCAGAAGAAGATTCAAAAGTCTCAGCATCGATCGTCAAGTTTCATGTTCTATTATTTTTCAACTTTTTTGTACCAACAATTGAAGCAGTAATAGTGATTTAGATAGAGAGTCTCACTAAAACTCCGGGACCACGTCTCCCACCACCTCCATTCACCATCGTGGCACGGAGGTGGGATTTGCTCCAATCCTTTTTTCTCTTTCTGACGTTTCATTGAGATTCGTTTTTTATTCTTTCTACTTAGTAGAATTGATTTTGGGGATCGATAAGAATTGGGGTTTTGGCTTTGATGGGTTCAAAGCCTTGGCTACAACCCGCTCCATCCTATCACCCATTGGAGACGTATTGGGACACTGAAGACGACGCCCCTGGACCTAGATGTGCCCACACTCTGACCGCCGTCGCCCAAACCAAAGCTCACGGCCCTCGGCTGATCTTATTCGGCGGCGCCACTGCCATCGAAGGTGGCGCTTCCTCCCCCGTCCCCGGCATCAGTAATGTTTTAAACCTCTCTTAATCCTTACATAAATAATTTGAAATAGCTTCAAGTTATTGACTCTTTGTTGGATTCACAACTTTAGGGTTAGCTGGCGTGACAAATTCTGTTCATTCTTACGATGTTCTGACGAGGAAATGGACCAGGTAGTTCTAATTCGTTCTTGTATTTGACTTAACTTTTCTAGAAGTCAATGCTAATGCTTTTTTTTTTTTCAGAATTCGACCAGCTGGAGAACCACCTTCACCCAGGGCTGCTCATGCAGCTGCTGTTGTTGGAACAATGGTTGTATTTCAGGTAACCATAATTATGAACTAAAGTAAAAAAAAAAAAAAGGAGATCTTTTAGCCTTTTATCTGATTTCTGGTTTTTGATAAACTGATTGTGCATGTTTAGGGCGGAATTGGTCCTGCTGGGCATTCAACAGATGATCTTTATGTGCTTGACATGACTAATGATAAATACAAATGGCACAGGTAACCTTTTGGTGGAATTCTCAGTTAATGCTTACAATTCTCTTCAAGTGTTGACTTGATTTCTTGTTTGTGGTGTGCAGACTTGTTGTTCAAGGACAGGGTCCTGGCCCACGATATGGCCATGTCATGGACTTGGTTGCACAACGATACCTAGTTACTGTTAGTGGCAATGATGGTGAGTGGATTTATGGACAGATGGGTGCATTTACATTCTTGTAATTGTAATTTGTAACCACTAATAATATCATCTGTGATCTGTGTTTTTCTCTAGGAAAGAGAGTATTGTCAGATGCTTGGGCTCTGGATACTGCTCAAAAACCATATGCATGGCAGAAGTTGAATCCAGAAGGTGATAAACCTTCTGCTAGAATGTAAGTGGATATTTTTAGTTGTAAGTAGATAATTGGCCTTTATTTGAGGGTATTTGTATATTTTGTAGATTTTATGCAAGCTTGTTTATGTTGGTCTTTTCAGGTATGCAACAGCTAGTGCACGCTCAGATGGCATGTTTTTGCTTTGTGGTGGAAGAGACACCTCTGGCACGGTATGTGGATTATCAATATCAATTATCATGTAGGCTTGCCATAATACTCTATTACTATATTTAATTTAATAGGGTCCATTGTCCACTTTTAAAAATTCTATTAATAATTATTTTATTATATAAGATTATAACAGCTAGACTAGTATACATAAACTTGTACATTTACTTAATAAAGTGGTATAGGAGGTTTTAAGTATTTGGATACAGTATGGGTGGATTGTGACCTGTTTGACCCATCTGAGTTGCTTCATACAATCATACTAGCCAAGTTCTTTTAAATATATACCATTTGACCCGATGAAGATAATGTATAACCCAGATTTGACCCATTTATAGGTAAACAAATAACAGATGAGTACAACTTGATGCTTTTTCTCTTTTTTTTTTATTAACAATATTACAGTTCAAAATTTCATATTATACAATGTACAGCAGCCAATATTGTTAAACCAATAACAAATGAGTACAACTGTTTTTGTAAGATTGAGTAGATTTTCTGATAGTTTTAGTTGTATGTGTGCATGTGCAGCCGTTGGCAGATGCTTATGGACTCCTGATGCATAGGAATGGCCAATGGGAATGGACTCTTGCACCTGGAGTCTCCCCATCATCAAGATACCAACATGCCTCGGTAAGTAATAGGACTCTCTCTCTCTCTCTCTCTCTCTCTCTCTCTTGTGTGTGTGTGTGTGTAAAGTTGTTAATGATGAATTTATCTGGTGGTAATCAGGTCTTTGTTGGGGCTCGGCTGCATGTTACAGGAGGTGTTCTGAGGGGGGGTCGGGCTGTAGATGGTGAAGCAGCCGTTGCAGGTTAATTCACATTATATATATATATATATATATATATAGAGAGAGAGAGAGAGAGAGAGAGAGAATTAATGAGCGTATATAAGCAGATATTAATTTTACTTTTACAGTTTTGGACACGGCTGCTGGTGTTTGGTTAGATAGACATGGGTTGGTGACCGCCACACGGAGTACGAAGCCCCAAACAGAAGATCCTTCTTTGGAAGTCATGCGCCGTTGTCGCCATGCTGCTTCTGCTGTCGGTGTCCGTTTATATATCTATGGTGGCCTCAGGGGAGGCAAGGCTTAAACCCAATAAATTCACTACTCATAAACAGAATATATATATATATATATATATATATATATATAATATTGTTTGTTATATGTGTGTGGTGCAGAGATTTTGTTAGATGATTTCCTAATCGCTGAGAATTCGCCTTACCAATCTGATGTGAATACTCCTGTACTAACATCAGAGAGAAGCACCAGTCCCCAGGACAAATCCTTTGACCCCATTTGATCCCTTAACTCCTGATAATGGATCTCAAAGTCCCTCATCTGGAGGCTTAAGGTTAGTCTTGATATATTTTAAAGGGAAAAAGTTGAATTTAGGAAACCCATTTTGCTAGAATAACTTTGAAAATGGCAAAATTTAACTTTTTCCCTATTATATAACATAATGTTGTTGGCAGCATGGACAAAGAATCAATGAACAGGCTGGTGGAAGCTTCTGCTGCTGAAGCGGAGGCTGCTAATGCGGTGTGGCAAGCCGCGCAGGCACATGCTGCATCTCCTGAAGAGACATCTGTTGCAGCAGCAGATGATAACAACTCACAAGCTGCAGATAACCATTCAGAGGGTAGTGATGGGGAGGGAGATGTTCGGCTTCATCCAAGAGCTGTATGATATTTGTTGTTTTCTAACATTATGTTATTAATACTATTCAGATGCTAAAGTAACAATGAATGACATACTATACTGCAGGTTGTGGTTGCGAAAGAGGCTGTGGGTAACCTAGGTGGACTGGTGAGGCAGTTGTCCTTGGATCAGTTTGAAAACGAAAGCAGACGAATGATTCCTTTGCAAAATGACATGTCATATTCTGCCAAAAAGTTTACAAGGCAAAAGTCACCACAAGGGCTACATAAGAAGGTACCATTTTTTCTTTATTGTGTTATTAGTTATGGTTATTGATTTACTATATACGTATGCAGATCATATCTACTTTGCTTAGGCCTAGAAACTGGAAACCTCCTGCAAACAGGAGGTTTTTCCTGGATTCTTATGAGGTGGGAGAGCTTTGCTACACGGCTGAGCAGATATTTTTGCATGAGCCTACAGTACTTCAGCTGAAAGCTCCCATCAAAGTGTTTGGTGATTTACATGGTCAGTTTGGTGATCTGATGCGCTTGTTTGATGAATACGGATATCCTTCAACAGCTGGAGATATAACGTAAGATTATACTTTGATTTGTGTCAGTCTAAGAAGCTTGTTGTTTACTTGTTTTTGTGTGTGGGTCCACTCCAGGTATATCGACTATTTATTCCTTGGGGATTATGTTGACCGAGGACAACATAGTTTGGAAACCATCACTCTGCTCCTTGCTCTAAAGGTAAGCAAGCCTGCCAACATCATACTATGATTTGATTTGATTTAATAATAATAATTATGGTGGTTGGTTGTTTTCAGATTCAGTATCCGGAGAATGTTCACTTGATACGAGGGAATCATGAGGCTGCTGATATCAACGCACTCTTTGGTTTCCGTCTTGAATGCATTGAAAGAATGGTATGTATGATTCTGCTGAGGGAATCAGGGTTTTTATTTTTTATATGCATGGATGGATGTTGATGTATGGACTATGGATACAGGGAGAGAATGATGGGATATGGGCATGGACGCGGTTCAATCAGCTATTCAACCATCTTCCACTTGCGGCGCTTATTGAGAAAAAGATAATCTGTATGCATGGTGGCATAGGGAGGTCAATACATTTAGTTGAACAGATTGAGAAAATAGAAAGGCCCATAACCATGGATGCCGGATCCCTTGTCCTCATGGATCTGCTCTGGTAACCAACTAAATTCTGCTTTTTGTTTTGTTTTGTTTCAAAATTCAAAACAAGATAAGGATACATCTTTTTTTTTATATATTTGGCTGGCAGGTCTGATCCTACAGAAAATGATAGCGTGGAAGGTCTGAGGCCAAACGCTAGGGGCCCTGGTCTGGTCACTTTTGGGGTATGTATGTTTTACAGCTACAGCTACTGATTAGTTTATACATAATATTATATTTATAGCTAGTAACTAACTACTACTTGCATTTGCATTTTGCAGCCTGACAGGGTGTCGGACTTTTGTAAGAGGAACAAACTTCAGTTGATTATAAGAGCACATGAATGTGTAATGGACGGGTTTGAAAGATTCGCTCAGGGACAACTCATTACCCTTTTCTCTGCAACCAATTACTGCGGTAACAATAAGAAATTTTTGATTTTGGTATCTCATCTAATCAAAATATAAAATATAAAATATAAAATTGTGGTGGGTTTGGGTTTGTTTGTGGGTTTCAGGTACCGCTAACAATGCTGGTGCTATACTAGTAATCGGGAGAGGACTGATGATTGTTCCAAAACTCATTCATCCACTGCCACCTCCACTACAATCACCGGAAACTTCTCCAGAACGTCCCCCCCAAGATGACACCTGGATGCAGGTTCTCTCTTCTCTTCTCTTCTATTCTGTATACAATGTTTTATGATTCTGATTCTGATTCTGATTCTTTCTGTGTTGTTTGTAGGAGTTGAATATACAAAGACCACCTACCCCAACCAGGGGACGCCCACAACCTGACCACGATAGGAGTTCCCTTGCATATATTTGACAAGCATATCCATTTTTGAACTATTTTCCTTCTTCTTGTATGTGGAAGGCAACTGCATGCATGGCAATTGGCAAGGGTTTGTCTTGTATTTTATTTAAATTATATATTATAGACGCAAGTTAAGTTATCAAGACTGTTTGTAACATATCATACCATGCACATAGTTTTATTCCCATAAATATATATATATATATATATATATATATATATATATATATATATATATATATATATTGTAAATTTGGGCATGTTTTGTTACATCACAAGACAAATGATGGTGTGTACTGGTACTGTAGAGATAAAAAATCTAAATGTAGCTTACTTTTCCGACCATCTTGATCCAATATTTGATATGCAATAATACGCTTGCACTTGCTCGTGATGTCTAGCTGACCAGACTAGTTACAATTTCACCCAAATTAAGGAATTAAAAAAACCAGTAGCTTTGTTTGGAATAAAAGAATAAGGGTAAAAAAAACCTTGTCCTTTCTCCTAACTGGCGTATATTGCAACTCCCCCAAAATGATCACGTTGCAGAACATCTTAGGATAAGTGTGTTGTAGTTCAATTGAATTTTGATGATATATTGTGTGAAGATTTGATCAAATAACTAATTAAATGTTCAAACTACTACATAGTACATACATACACATACGGGTTTGTGCATAAACCAGATACGTTTTAAAGATATAAAATGTTACAAGGCTGACCTGAACAAGATAAGTATCTACTGCAGAAATGAGAACATACAAAACTAATTAACCCCTCCCCCTTCCCTTCCCTGTAAACACATGCTTTGTGCATAAAATTACACACACATGAGGATGATAAAACAACAATCTACATATTCTCTATCGTCTACACCTAATAAACGACATCTTTTTAATTAAACCCCTCCAACTTGATGCTTCCTCTCCCTAGTTAAAGGTAGGTCACTGCAAAAAAAATACAGCAACAATGACACAAATTAACAACAGAAGCAGGAAATTTTTATTAAAAAATCATTTGTGTTACCTTTTACGTCACGTCACGTCTTTGATGCAGAAGCGGGCAGATCGTGTCCTTTGTTTGCAAGTCTGAGTGCCCTTAGTTTAGCAGATGCTCTAATGGAATGTATCATAGGCACCTCGTCATCTTCATCCATTTGATTTTCTTCCTCATCTATGGAATCCTCGTCTTCACTTGAGCTGTTGTCAGCAAACAGTTTCTTCCCCTCCATCAATGGTGGTTTCTTACGTGGCCTACCCCGCCCACGTTTAACAGTACTCACCTCTTTTTCATCTGACAAACCAAACCAAACCAAACCAATCATCACTTAATTAATAAACACACAACACATTACACATGTAGCATAACATAATATAACCAACCAACCTTCATTTCTCAAACATTTCTCATGTAGGCTGGCCATAAATGCCTTGAATGGGGCCCACCCACTTGGATCTTGATCCATGTTTTCACCTCTTGTTCGATCCTCAAGATCCTTTATACTGTATCAATTGTAGTACGATTAGTATAGTATTTATTTTCTTATAACTGACTGCATTACAAAAAGGTAAGCTTACATGGCAAGATTATCAGACTTAGCAAGCCTGGATGCGAAATTTATAATAGCAGCCATTAAAAAAGGCAAACGCCATGGACGATCCATGAAGGCAAGATTGATTCCATTGTGCATGATTTTTAATATGACCCCTCTGTATTTCATGCGTGCAGCTGCTCCAACAAAGAAACCAGAAAGCCGAGCAGACAGATCTTTACATTCTTTGAACCTCTGGGCAGACAATGACTCATTGTCGGCCGTACTCAGATACCTCCCATATGCCTATATCCCAAATAAAATCAAATAATAACTAGTATTTACTAGGATCATCAAAAATATATTTTTTTTTTTAAAAAAAACAATAAATATTTACCTGTTTGAGTGCCCCTAGAAATATATCAGACACATCTTCGTTCTTTTTTCTAAGAGAAATAATCAGACTTTTTACTACTTCAGCCACACCTGGCCCATGCATTACATAATGAGAAATGATATCCGGGGCAAGATGCTCCTGCAAATACTCCTGCATTTTAAATATATAAATCACACTACTTTTTTGCCATAAACAAACAAACAAGAAACTTGAATGATAAAAAAAAACCTTGGGAACAGCTTCAGTTGCAACTAGCTTGGAAGCTGCAATCATAATAGAATCTCGATTCGTCTCTTCCACATACTCTTTGTTAGCTTCTTCATCTTCCGTCTCATCTGCATACAAGAAAAACAAGTGTTCAATCACTTATTAACAAATTTATTTATTTATTTATTTTTTTTGAGAAAGTTATGTTACCTGAAACATCAAACTGCTGCTCACAAAGCTTCCAGAATCTTCTAATGGTAGAGATGTCAGGACAGTATCCTAAACTTTCCAGATGTGTTGCTTCAAAGAGCGGCTTTCTGAACAAACACCACGATTCTGCAAGTATTGTACAGACCTTGGAAAAAATGGGAGAGTTTAGAAAATATCATATCAAATTTGGTTCAAAATTCAAAAAATGCTAGCTATATATGCTCACCCTACTAGCAATGAGGTTTCTAGAAGTTCCCTTTCCTTGAGCTTCAGGTGGGTTTTGCAAAAAGTAATCAAGCTCATTAAATAGAACGTTCCGTTTGCATACCAGAGAAGACAATGATTCCTCAGAGACAACTTTGCTGTTCATAATCGAGCATAAACACCAGGCAACATGTATATACATGTTGAGAAGCAGGAAACTGACAACCTACATAATACATTTATTCAAATATGTAAAAGCATTGAAAATATGTCCAAAAAGTTAAAAAAAGATTTGGATTCGAACCTCGTCATCTATGTGGCGGAAATTTTTTAGAACCATAGCGATATCATCATACAGACTTTCAATTGGTACAGGCCTTAACAATTGCAGCTCGTATAATCTCTTCATGTTTACAAGAAGTGAGTACTCGTCATCACCATCCTACAAACAAAAAACATATCTTAGTTTGAACTAAATAAAATCACTCACATTTAGGAATTAGGATTACATTATACCAAAAAACAAGGATTGTCGGATGAACAAGTAGGGGGACTATTTACTCATTACCAATCAAGGAATGCAAGGGGAATCCTAGTGATATTAAACTGTAATACAATCATACCGCTACTTCTTTTATTGCAGCTTTAAGTTTAACAATAAGCTCCTCCTCAAGCTTCTTCAGTTTATTTTGAGCAAAATCTTGTAGCTCACCCCGGCTTCCAGTTGTGCAGAAGTTGATAGCTTTAACACAAGATCGCAGAGCATCTTTGTCACCATGTTTGAAGAATGTCTCTATTATCAGGTCAAGAACCGTTTTAAAACCCTGGAATAAAAAAAACAACTCTTTTAAGTACGACTTTACAAAGATATATAATGAACAAAAAGGGAAATTTTGACCTGCCTACCTGTTCCTGTCTCTTCAGTGAGTAAAGCTCAAGATTCATGTGAACAATAATTTCAACAAGTGAAGGGACTTTCGTTTTGTCAGTCATATATTTGCGCATAAGTGGTGCGTAGTTCTTCATCATAGCAACGGTTATATCCTTCCTATTGCTGTCAATCATTTCCTATATTTGAAGCAAAAAAATATATATATTATTATGGCAAGACTCATACTTGATTATCAAACAATGAAATAAGGCGACTTGCTTACCCTTTGAGCTTTAGTGTAGGACTGTTTCCTATGGTCGATAACAGGAACAATCCTCTCTCCAACAGCCTTCTTGACAGATGCACAGAACAATCGTGTCAAGTTTGTTGCATCATCATCTGTAAGCTCAATTGAGGGATTCTCATCCAACAGCATAGAGATTATACGCTTCCAGTCCTTCATGGCATCCATGAACTCCCAAATGTCATCAATCACATAGGTACTTAGCATTTGATCTGCTGAAAACTCTCTTAGTATTTGCAGCATCCTGAGAAGATGAATATGTGATGAATCGCCTTCATCTCCTGATGAACGAGACTGTGAGTTGTTGAACTTCTGAGCAACAACATGATCATACACAAGCGCCCCAATGGCATGCCTGATTTCGGGAGGATCATCAATTAATAAATCATATAATGAGCCTAAATCGTCATCCGGAACCAACTGATGCCTGAAATGAGCCACAAATAATATAAATTATTCACATTAAACCGATTATAAATAATCAAAAAGGGTATTCCAGTAGATACCTCAAAAGTTGTTTTACAAGACTGATGGCACACACTGCAACAGACAGATCAAGATCATCAGCAAGATCCAACATTCTTTTATAAAATCGCTCAGTAAACAATCCGAGAGATGGCACGTTGTCATCCACATCATACAGATTTTGCAATGCAAGGACTGAAGCTTTCCTAACACCAGCATTCTTCAGATATATAGATAAAGAAAATTAATAATCGATCCTTTGGTAGGGTTAGCAGGAACATAATTTATAAAAAGATAAGAACCACAAAAGCAACTTACTTTGTCGTTCAGTGTCCATCCAAGATACTTCAAGTACAAATCCTGCAAGAACAGTGATGGGTATGAGATGATCCATGTTCCAAGTGATTGTATGCACGACATGCGGATTTCAGGATCAATGTCTCGATAACGATGCACAAACAACCTTCAAAACAATCAGGAAGCTGTTATTGAATTGAAGAAACTATGGTAAACATGAAGCAACTAGAAAGAAAGCAGATAGTGAGTACCCTGTAAATATTTTGCGCATCATCTCCTCTATCATTGTGATCTTTTCATGCATCTCTGAAAGCCTCTTATTAAGTGAGTCGATATGAGGCCCCTCAGAGTTTTTCTTCTTCTCAGCAGTTAACTGCCTTTGGGTAGTCTGGCGATGGGCAGCAAGTATCTTGGCAGCCCCTATGAAGGAGGTGACCATCTGGAGCCCCACCATGGAAGCAACATGGCGATAAACTCTCGGAGGAGTACTGAAAAAGTGTGTATACTGAGAAAGAGATGTATTTTGAAAGCTATAGAACAAAGAGTAGGAATACCAACCATGACAAAGCAATAACATAGTCCATGCACTTGTCAAACAAGACTTGATCAAACAACGGTCCATTTTGGCACTCTGATACCAAATTATCCCAGAATGAGACAAGGTTCTCCTTAAAACTTCTGAATTCCTTCTTTTTTGAATTTTGATAGTCTTCAACTCTGCCCTAAATTTCATCACACTAAGGAGAAAACATATGAATGGATGTGAAATGTTGGTAAAGCTTAAAAGAATATGGAAATTAACAATAACAAAAGGATACTTGTGCAGCCAGATTTACAAGAGCAACTACAACATCATCAACATTAGTTTCGTCCAAGAATTCTCCTTGGATGTGATATGTAGCTCCACAAGCCTGTACATTTTCAAGTCTAATCAGGTAAACATTCGAGTCACTAAAATGAAGTGTGACATTTCTTTGGGCTACTGGGATATGGGGGCAACATAGGAAAGTAACTATGTTTGAGATTGGAGAAAACCAAATGCATATTTACGGATTTACCTCAAACAGCATTGTTAAGAGTTCAACCATTGCAGGCTTCGGATCCTTCTCATATCGCTCGACCCATGATTTAACCACTTGTGGAATGAATTTCCCATTGCTTTTAACGACCTCTAATGAAGAGAAAGGGTAAACAAAATGAAAGCATGTTAAAATGATAGTTTATGCAGTGTAAAAAAAAAAAAATCTTGACATTAAACTTTCAAATGGAACAACAGACAAAGATAGTTTAGGCAGTATAGGCTATGATACAGCATTGAACTAGCCAATAACAATCCATGTCTTGATGAAGCGTAACTACCTTATTAACTCAAATCAATTTAGTTTGACCACTATAACTTTAAGGCTTGAAGTAGGAAACTCCCAACCCATCCCTCTTCTTCTTTCCTACATCGTCTACTGGTATTATCCACATAGTTTACCTCATATGTTCTTTTTTATTGTAAATTGAATGATGAATTGAGCATTACAATAAATGATTTTATAACACCCAACTCCAATTTAAGAACGATATTAACTTCACTAAACTCACCGATTAAATTCTGATCAAAAGCTTTCGATGCCGTAGTAGAAGGAGCTGCTTCCACAGTTCGAGTTCGGGTAGGTTTCCGACGAGGTTCGACGAATTCATCTGCAGACTCCTCCTCAGACTCGACAATGTCTCTAATATCACTTACTAACCCATCGAAAGTCCTCGTCTGAACCCTATTCCTTTTCTGTTAACACATAAGCACATCAATTAATTTCATACCCACACAATTACACAAACAGGCGAATAAGAAATTTTAAAACCCTAGTTATCAAATCATTTCACAATAAAAAATAACTTGCGAGCATATTTCAAGACTAACCGAGCGGCGAACGAGTGGTTCAGGAACATCGGGTTCGTCTTCCATGGCGTTGTGATCTTGAGTGTGTGTGTAGTGTGTGAGATTTGGGAATTTCCCGCCAGGAAATGAAGCAAATTATTTGGGGCTCCGGAGATGGTGGTGTTTATATACCTACACGGTTACTTGCACCGTACAACGAGTGCATCCTGTCTTTTGGAAGACGGCTTTCACCGGATCATTTCCCACTCTTTTCCAGTAATTTCGTAAATAATTTTTTACTACTATCCGTCTATCGTATACGAATAAAATAATGTGATTCGTATTTCTCAACCCGCATCCAGATTCATAACCAGATTTGCAATCTTGGTTCGGGTTCGGATCCTTCTAATGATCCGGTTTATGGGAAAAAGGCCCAATCCAGATTTCCAAAACCTAATCATCGATGATACAATCTCTAAATATCTCTAAATATTATTAAAAGAAAACATTAATTCATCAATGAAGCAATTAAGGTTCTTGATTGTATTTCAGTCTTATGTTTTCTATCTTTAGATCAAATTGCTGACATCATCTTCCCTAACTAGAATTCAAATAGTATATAATTATAAAATCTTTATTCACGTTTTGGAATATTTAATTGTTTACCATATTAATTCTTCCAATTGATTCTAATTGATATTATACATAGTAAACGACTTTTCATAAGTCAAATGATATCTTTGTAAAAAGGAACTTATAAGGTATGTTATTTTCTATTTCAAATTTAAATTTAAAATACATTTCAGTTTATTTACTTCCTATTTTTCATCATTATATATCTTTTATACATAATACAAAATTCTAACAGTTTTATTCTTCGATTTACGCAGGAACAGTTGACATACTTCCTCTGTAGAAAAATAGAGCAAAACTTCTCCAAACTTGTCATCGACGATCAACTGTATGTACTTTTATGCCTTATCATTTTCTGTTTCGCACTTTCAATTCCTGTTATCAAATCACTGCATATTTTCGTTACCTCAAACCTCAATCTTCACATTAATCTAATTAGTTATTTAAATATATATGTTTCCAATAAAACCATTTATTTTGATTTTATTCGTTTTCCTCCAACTATTTAATGGCTTTGTCAATGTTGTTATTGTTTTTATTTAAATTAAACATTCTGAATTAAAAAGAGTTTCAATTTCATACACTTTTGCCTTTATGGAAAATTCGATAATGCAGCATTCGGTACTATTCATACAAAGGGCAAATCTGGAAAACAATTTTTTATCCCTTAATAGTAGGATACTTTCATTTTCTACAAATGAGCATAATACCAATGTACTTTTGAACCATAAATACATTGCTATTATGTTCTTATATTTGTATTGTTGTTCTAAATTATTGACTGCTATCAATTTAACATATTTGCCCCTTTCAACTATAAAGTTTACCATTTTCATGAAAGAAAATTGTTCAGCTGACCATTTTGTCACTACCAAAGAATAACAGTGTATTTCTGAATCATAAATACAATGTTATTATGTTTTTTTTATTTGTATTGCTCTTTTAAACTACTGACTCCTGTCAATTTGTCATATTTGCTATTTACTTACTTCAACTTATTTTTTCTGCTTTTTTATTTTTTATTTTTTTGGTTTTGTTAAATATGTGCATATGTTCGTTTCCATTTAGTGATTACTACTTTTTTTTTCTAATCAGCACCTCACATTTGACCATTTACTGTGGCAAGTAATATTGTTTTCTCATATTTTTATAATTGATTGGATTTCATGGAATAAAATGATGTAATAAGATGAAATATAATTTTTTGTATTTTAATAGTACCTGATGAGTAAAAGAAAAAAAAATAGGAGGCTAATGGAATTTTCATCTAAAAGTGTAGTTGATGAATACATTATATAAAACATGGATTTTTTTTTTGTATTGCAATGAGTAAAGGGGCAAGATGGTCATTTAGATTTAAGTAAGATTTCATTTTTTGTTTGTATTTTATTTAAAGCGACTATTTGATGGTAGTAATTTTAATTTTAAATTTGTGTACTATTGTATTTTTTTGAAACTATTAGTTTATCCCTTTAAACATCCATATTATTTGGTTGAGTCACATGTGTTTAACAAGAGTCAATGACAATCATTATCAACTGTTGGATTGTATTTGCATAGACTCGTCTTCACTAATGGTCAGTTATATGTAGTTGTTTCTCGCGTGACAAGTAAAAAGGGCTTGAAGGTACTCATATGTGACGAGGAAGATCGTTCAACCAATAAAACAAAAAATATTGTCTACAAAGAGGTCATCCAACGATTATAGATAATCAGACATTTGGTTTTATTTATTTTAGACATTTCAATATATTCAATAACACAAAGTCTTTTTATGTTACTTTATCTTTTTTTTGTCGGCTTTTGATAACTTTATATGTATTTTTATATGTTCCCCGCGTTTTACGCGGGTCATAATCTAGTTTTTAAAATCTTATAATAAAAGAAATTGTAGAAACTAAGGAGTTTTTTTTTTTTTGCATCAAACCCCTACAAACTTCAACTTTTGGTTTTAAAAGGTCGTTAAAGTTAATTTTGGTCCTCATATACAAAGCAAAGCAAAGTCAAAATATACATGTTAATAAAGTCAATATATGCATTATCAAGCCAGTTTACCGATTGTATAGATTATGTGGCCCCTGAGTTCCTGTTGTCAACTATACATAATCATAGTCAGATAATCTACATGTGTTTTGGGTCAACTAAAAGATAATAACGGTTGATATCCTCATAAAATAACTCAAATGATGAAGTGAAAGTCTAAGGGAAGAATATCGGCAATACACAGGGCTTTTTGGTAGAGGATCGTCTCCAATTTGAGTAAGATTTCTACGTTGTGATTTTATTTTCTTCTTCTTGCACAAAATCTGAACTGTATGTGTAATATCATGTTTTTAGGGCTAGAAGTTTTGAGCATTTTGGTAAAAAGTAAAAACAAAAAGTTAATTTAATTTAAAATAAAATAAACTGGAGTGAAATAAATAAATAAAGGTAAATGATTTCGATTAATAACTATAATAAACATTATTGATAAATCATAAATAAATTTCAATAGTGGTTGGGCGTCGAATGAAAACTTTTAAAGTTTAGGGACCAAAAGTGTCAAGTTGGGGAAACTTGTATTTAACCCGAGGATTTAACCAAATGAACATATAGGATCAATTTTGTACAAGTTAAGATATGGAAGGGCCATTTTGAGCTAAAGTGAGCTTAAGGTGAGCTTGGGGACTATTTCTGAAAGGATTTTTGAAAGAATGACCAAAACGATGACACAAAGGTCTAAGGGAAGAATATCGGAGTCAGTTGATATCTTCATAAATAACTCAAACCGACGAAGTGAAGGTCTAAGGGAAAAAGATCGACAATACCCAAGGCTTTTTGGTAAAGGGTCGTCTATAATTTGGTTAGTGAGGAAATGATTCTTAAGGGTAGAGGTTGTTGGATTAAGTGTCTAAGCCCATAACTATATTTGGTATGTACTTGACCCGATTATGAGCATGGTCCTTTTGGGTTGCCTTCACCAGAGCAACTTGACTGGATGATTAGTGGAGAGAGAGGATAATATGATTTATTAATATATTATAAGAATAATATATTAAAAGAGAAATAATATTAGTTAATTAATATTGGTCAATAATTAATTAAGAATTAATTTTGTGATCAAAATATATTAATTGAACTTAGGGGACTGGAATTGCAATTATAAGATAATTGGATTTTGGGCTGTGGATCATATGGATCAAGGGGTGGACGAAATTAGGGTGGAAGCCCACATTGAATTCGTCCAAGGCCTTATTCCAGAAGGTTCCATTGGACTGCTTAAGACCTAAGCTATCCAATTATTGTTTTGACTGAAACCCTAGCAGCACACCTATAAAAGGAACCCTAGGGCATCCAAAATCGGCTACCCTTGATCCCTAGAGTCCTTAGAGCCGATTTTGTGCCTCCGTCTCCTCTCTCCAATATCATTCTTCTTGCTTTGGTGTTTGTGAGCCATAAGGGGTATTACATTTATGATATTAAGCTCTTGAAGATTGAAGATTCTTGCTACTCTTGAAAGGTAATCATCTAAACTTGTTTAGATAGTATTTTCGATTTCCATATGCTAGAATTAGGGTTTATAGGCTTTGGATAATTTGCATGTACAATTAGATAAACCTAGATCCAAAGTTTTAGGGTTTTGCATGTGCACCATAGGATTGATGTTTTGCTCAAAACCCATCAGTGGTATCAGAGCCTAGGATGGGTATTCTAATGTATTTGATGCAAAAATTTATTGTTCATAGCTGTTAAACTCGTTTTCTGTTTGCTGCCCAACTCACGACGTGACTCACTAAAGTTCACGACGTGAGTTCAGTGAATCTGCTGAACTCGTCGAGTTCAGATGGCTACTCGGCGAGTCGGAGAGTCAGATGTCAGAAAACTCGGGATTTTGACCTATTTTGACTTGGGATAATTACCAAAATGTTTTTTGATTGATAAAATCCGATTTTATTAATATGTTGTGATTATCCTTGTCAAAATAAAAGATAATTCTCAATTAATTGGATAATCATTGCCTTATATGATAAACCTTAATTATTTGATTGAATTATATTGCCATGACATTGGATTAGGTCAAATTTAGATAATCACTAATTAATTGTTTAATTAAATTATTTGTAATTTGATCTAGATAGTTTGAAAAGTTTCAAAACTTGCCCTCAAGTTTTCGAATTAATTTTTTTTTATTAAGAGATTAATTTTGAAATATTTAAATTCTAAACCCTATAATTTTACAAGTTTAAAATTCAACCCTTATGCTATTATAATATTATAAGATTAATTATTATTATTATTATTATTATTATTATTATTATATATATATATATATATATATATATATAAGATTAAGCTAGTCTTACCGTTAGTAGGTCTCATTCACGAAGCCGATCTATAAGGGGGGTATAAGGTTGTTGCCTATAAAATGACAGTTTAATGGGTGTCCACTCTCACCCACCGTTTCCTTGATTGGTGGAGGGTCGTTAGCCGAACGGGTAGGATAGGGCAACTAATTCCTCATTATAAGTATAATGATCAATAAAGTAACTAAATGTTTTTACAAAATTCCCAATCTTAGTTGCTTTAGGTTAAATGTGAAATTGTATGTT